ATAACAAGTGTAATATCCACTAAAGCACAGCTTAAGTATATAACACCAACAGGCCTTAGACGTTTTTGTTGAGTATGTGGTCATATATGTATTTTGAATCGGGAGGTGCTGCTGATTTTTACAAAAATCATCATAAATCGTGTGTTGGTCCGATTTCTTTGAAATTTGAACTGTATGAACTCCTTTTGGTATGTTATGTGGTGTAAAATTTTCAAGTCCAAATGATATCTGTAGCTACGTCAAATGTCGATTTGAAATTCTGGGCAGAAACTTTGAAAAATCATTAAAAATCAGATTCTTGGTGTTTTGGTGAGTGTTAGTAATCTGATGTTATATGTGTTGTGTTCAAATTTAGTTGAAAAATTCAAAGGATTGCTCGGTGAACTAGAAAGTTTAGATTTTCATCGTCTTTTTTGTAAAAATTAGTTGCTTAAGTTAATCATAAGTGTTGGATCTGAAACTTTGTAAAAATATGCCTTTCGGGGTCTATTTTAATGTGTAAAAATTTTAAGTGAATTGGTCAAGTACTTTTTGAAATCGGTCGGTCCTATTTGAAACTCTGCTTGTTTATCGGGCCCTGTGCACTGCTGCCAGCGTGATAACGGATTGAATTTTTGTCTATACTTGGGTTGTGAATAATCGCGCATTCAGGGCCTTCGATTACTCACTAGTAGACGCACTCAGGGCCTTCTCCTAGGCACTGTGACTTCAAGATGCACTAAGGGCCTTCTCTCCGACACTGTATGTAAACATGCACTAACGGCCTTGTTTATCACACATTATAACATAAAGTTCCCCTCTTTGATTGGCTAACCAATTCAATACTCAATTCAAGACATAAAATTATGATGAGGTACATGGGGTATTTATAGGTGCAAAATAAATCTAGGCATAATCAAACTAGATCTCCTAATTCATGCAATAAAATAAATCCTAATACTAGTAAATCTCCTAACATCTTCTACTACTAATAAATGAAAGCAACATGAAAATAAAATCCTAACATAACTAAAATACTAATTGTCTTGACTTGCACTTCAAGCATAACTTGCAGCACAAGCCAATCGCACGCCCAAGACCACCGCCTGACGTGCGCCGCCCTTCGGCCGCTACTCCTTGTTGCGCGCTTGACTCCCACGCAGCTCCCATCGTGCCCGAAATCCATGCGCGCGCCGTGTCGCGCACGTCACTGCCATGCTCGCCTATTCCTTCCGCGCAAGGCATGCGCTCGCGTAAGCCCTACACTCGCGCCCCATCGCGCGCTCATCGTCAAGCGCGCCCAATGCCCGCACATCGCCCATCGCTCGATGCGCGCCCGTCTATCCGCAGCAACTCCCCTCGCGCGCCATCCACCCAAAAACCTCCCCCTGCGCACCACTTCGCCTAACCTCCAAGCGCCATGCGCGCCTACGCCAACGCGCGTGTGCGTGCCCTTGCTTAACGCACCTCTCCGTGCGTGTGAGCGTTGCTAGCCTTGAGACCACCTTCTTGCGTGCCCTCGGGCACCTCCATGCGCGACCCTCATTAGCCGCTTCGTGCGCTCGTGCATCACATCCATGCACTCCTCGATCCAAGCCCGTCCGCATACGCACTCGTACCCGTCTTTTAAGCCATGCTTGCATCATTTTGGCCCTATTTTCAGCCTCCTCGAGTCCTCTTGGCTCTTGGCCTTCTTGTCGCAGGGGTCCGGAACCCACTTCCGTATCATTCCCGCCCCCTTTGAGAATGTCCTTGCCCTCAAGGACTCATCCTCGACCATCCAAACATCGGGAACTCTTTCTTCAATCTCTCGACCATTGTGCTCATCGTACTCACGGTCTTCGACGACTTTGACCATGCCCTTACTCTCGACATCGTCCTTCACGTCCTCCACATTCCTCTCCTCGCCAAGGCCCTCTTCGATCACGATTACCTTGACCCCGGCTTCTTCGACCACTTCGACCTCGGCCAAAGTTCTCACGTGGACTTCGATCATCTCTTCAACCTCGGTTAGCTTGACTTCTTCGACGTCCGCGGTTCTGTCATCCTCGGACATTTGTGGGCCCAAGTAATTGATAGAGAAATCCTCGCCTATGGTCCTCTTGTCGAGCGCATGTGGTTCATCATACTCGACTTGGCCGACCTCACACCTTGCGACCTTGTCTTCACCATAGCCCGATAGATCGAACTTAAACAGTGGCTCTTCTTCGACGAACTCCTTCATGATCTTGATTTGTCGTTCGTACTTCTCCTTTTGCTCGTACAACTCCTCCAAATAATTTTGCTCCCATGGGGTCAAACTCCTCTCCAACCCTTCTAAATATTCAAGATTCTCCCAATCCAACTCAACTAATGGCTCGAACAACATTTTTTTTTTACTCTTCGAATAAATTCGAACAAAACTGAAAAATATATATATATTTTTTTTAAGACTCTAGGAAAAAATAACAAAAGACTAACAAGATGACACTTTTTTTTAGGACTCAAATTTCGAAAAAATAGGGAAAATTTGAAAAAAAAAAAATTCGAACCCCAAAAGAAAAAGAACAAAATTCGAACTAAAAAAAGAAGAGAAATTCGGCCCCTCAGCAAAGGCAAACCGAAAAAAAGAAAAAGATAGGATAGACAAAGATTCGATCAGCACCTCTCAATGAAAGTACCAATGATGGCGGATCAAATTTTTGTCTATACTTGGGTTGTGAATAATTGCGCACTCAGGGCCTTCGATTACTCACGATAGGTGTATCTAGTAGACGCACTCAGGACCTTCTCCTAGACACGGTGACTTCAAGACGCACTAAGGGCCTTCTCTCCGACATTGTATGTAAACGTGCACTAACGGCCTTGTTTATCACACGTTAGAACATAAAGTTCCCCTCTTTGATTGGCTCACCAATTCAATACTCAATTCAAGACATAAAATTATGATGAGGTATGATATGGGATATCATACCCATTAGGCTGAACCGGTCTATTGACCGGTCGAGGAGGTCGTATTATGAGGAAGTCAAGGAAATCGAGCAGTTAACCAGTCGACCAAGGAAAGCCGTCGACCAAACTATCCTTCGACCAGATACACGATCGAGCAACCTATTCGACCTCAACAGGTCGATTACTTTGAGGACTTAACACCATGTTGTTTGGCCTAGTCATAGGCGCGTGAAGGAGCCTCTGACAGAATCCCAGGAGAATATTTATCCCATGTGCAGGGGAACACGTGTCGAGAAGGCAGTGGCAGATAGCGATAACCACCTCTGACAGCCTACCCCATATGCAGGAGGACACGCGTCCAAAGAGGATTGGTGCAGGCGATAATGGCGACGGTTACCTCTGACACACGCGTTTGGTGTGTACGGACGGGTAGTTAGGGCAGACAGCTCATCAAATCCGGGCAGCCCTAGGTCAGGTATCTCACCCCTATATAAAGGGGGTGAGTCTTTCTTCTTCAACACGATCATTCTAATACTTGCTCTTGAGAATTGATTGAACAAGCACTGACTTAAGCTTCGGAGGCTCTTCACCGGAAAACCCCTCCGGTGTAAGAGTTCTTTGTAGGTGCACGACATTCAACCGGTGAGAAGGAAGGCGATTATTCAAGTTCCAGCCGGTCAAGAAGTTTTGTGTTACCATTTGGCGTCGTCTGTGGACTTTCGTTTAAGAAGTTGTGTTTGAAGCTCAGCTATGGCGGACGGAATTCCCAAAAATTTACAATCGACGTTCGACGACACATGGACGACGAGCAGGCCGTTTGGACAAGGCCCTCCTCTGGGTTTTTCTGGCCCATCCCAGACGCCGGTCACTCCTACGCCGGTTTTTCAAGGTGTAGGAGTGACGACAGTGGTTCCCGAAGGAGGCGCCGGCTCCAATCGTGCCTAGGAGATTCGCAGTGGATGCGGCGGCGATGCCACCACCGGCGCCACAAAACCCAACAGTCGCGCCTCTAGGAGGAGCAGCGGCGCAGCCAGGGGGAGCAGCAGGACAAGGAGGAGCACCACCACACGCGACAGTGCAAGTCCCCAGCCAGCATGTGGTGATGACTAGGCAGGAGATGCAACAAATGGTGGCGGAGGCAGCTGCCCAAGCGGTGCAGTAGGTCACAAACAGTCTCTCTCGGGCCACAACGATGTCGAACACTGTTGCAGGTGTTGGTGTTATATACTTAAGCTTTGCTTTAGTGGATATTACACTTGTTATTCCTTGATGAATGAGAATTATGTTTGGTTAAATAAGTTCCACGT